TCACTAGCTGCTGTCTGTCTGTCAGGAAGCTGGTGATCCACTGACAGATGGAGGTGGGTACAGAGAGCTGGGTGAGTTTATTCTGAAGGGTGTCCGGGATGATGGTGTTGAAAGCGGAGCTGAAGTCAACAAACAAGATCCTTGCATAAGTCCCTGATTTGTCCAGATGTTGGAGGATGTAGTGCAATCCCATATTGACTGCATCATCCAAAGACCTGTTTGCTCAGTAAACAAACTGCAGGGGGTCCAGCAAGGGTCCAGTAATGTCCGTCAAGTAGGCCAACACCAGTCTCTCAAATGACTTCATGACCACATATGTTAAAGCAACAGGTCTGTAGTCATTAAGTCCTGTGATTTTTGGTTTATTGGGTACAGGGATGATGGTGGAACATTTGAAGCAGGAGGGGACTTCACACAGCTCCAGGGATCTGTTGAAGAGCAATGTGAAGATGGATGATAGCTGGACAGCACAGGCTTTGAGGCAGGCTGGAGAGACACCGTCTGTGCCTTTGGCTTTTCTTATCTTCTGCTTCCTGAAGACTTTGCATACATCATCTTCACAGATCTTGAGTGCAGGATGAGAAACAGTAGGGGGAGGGAGGGGGAGGGTGTTGATGGCTGCACTGTGAGACGGTCGGAGTGGGTGTGGGGTGTCAGACCAGTCTTTTCAAACCTGCAGTAAAACTCGTTCAGGTCTTCAGCCAGTTGTTGATTGGCCTCAGTGCTGGGGGATGGGGTCTTGTAGCTGGTGATGGATTTCAGACCTTTCCACACTGATGTAGAGTCATTACTTGAAAGCTGTTTTTTTAGCTTTTCAGAGTAGTTTAACTTTGCCACTCTTATCTCCCTATTCAGTGTGTATTTGGCCTGTTTGTACAAGTCTTTGTCCCCCCTCCTGTAGGCCTCCTCTTTGGCCTGGCGAAGCTGTTTGAGTTTTGCACTGAACCAAGGTTTGTCGTTGTTAAATGTTAAATAAGTCCTGGTGGAACACACATGTCCTCACAGAAACCGATGTAGGATGTCACGGTGTCAGTAAGCTCATCCAGATCAGTAGCTGCAGCCTCAAAAACACTCCAATCAGTAAATTCGAAGCAGGCCTGTAAATCCACTCTCTGCTTCAGCAGTCCATCTCTTTACAGTTTTTACTACAGGCTTAGCAGATTTGAGTTTCTGCCTGTAGGCTGGTAGAAGATGAACCAAACAGTGATCAGAGAGTCCCAGCACAGCTCGGGGGACAGAGTGGTATGCATCCTTTAAAACAGTGTAGCAGTGGTCCAGTATATTGCCGTCTCTGGTGGGGCATGTGATGTTCTGTCTATATTTAGGCCGTTCACGGGTGAGATTAGCTTTATTAAAATCACAGAGAACGATAATGAAAGAGTCCGGATTACGTTGTTCTGTGTGTGTGATCTGATCGGCCAACAGTTCTAACGCCGCGCTCACTCACGCATCAGGAGGAATGTACACACTGACCAGAATAAATGAGGAGAACTCCCGCGGTGAGTAAAAAGGCTTACAGTTAATGAAGAGAGTTTCCAAATTTGGGCAGCACATCTTCTTTAAAACTGTCACGTCTGTACACCAGCCTTCATTGATATAAAAACATAATCCACCGCCTCTCGTTTTCCCAGACGACTCGGTGACACGGTCTGCTCTGAACAGTTGGAAGCCCATTAGATGTAACGCGCTGTCCGGGATGGCTCCGTTCAGCCAGGTTTCCATGAAGCAGAGCGCAGCGGAGTTTAAAAAGTCCCTGTTTGTGCGGGTGAGGAGTCGTAGTTCGTCTGATTTATTTGCTAGGGAGCAGAGATTCGCCAGATGAATGCTCGGCAGCGGAGTCCTAAAACCGCGCTGTTGGAATTTAACGAGCACACTGGAGCTGACCCCATAAAAGGGGACTGTTGCAACATTCATTAAAATTTAATTAAAATAATTTCTTAAATATAATTTTGCAACATCTTTATTTTATTTGTGCACAGACAGAGTCTTCAATAAGTTAAATTGGCTGTATAAAAACTAAGAATAGTAAATGGAAAAAAAACAAGTAACAACCATGTTTTGGTTAATTATTACAGTACATCTGAACTACAAAATATTAATTTAATCAAAATCAAGACACTGAAATTTAATGATTGCCTACTTCTGTTAACATCTGTGAAAGTTTACTGAACTAGGGCCAGTTGCATAAACATAGCCACTATATGTTAAAGGGGTCATATGATGCTTTTTTAAGGATCATTATTTTGTGTATTTGGTGTAACAGAATATGTTGACATGCTTTAATGTTCAAAAAACACATTATTTTTCAAATACTGTACATTATTGTAGGTCCTCTATGCCCCGCCTCTCTCAAATGCTTTGTTTTCTACAAAGCCCCTCCTTCCGATAAGTGCAGTCTGGTTTTGAGACTTTAGTCTTTGCAACTTCAGGGATCTTATCTATGCACAATCAGCTTGTAACACTCCAAAGAGAAAGGAAAACTTGAAATCGCATCATATGACCCCTTTAAGACTGTGTCTTAAGAACTAGTTTGACTAACTAGCAGTTAACCAGGTAATCAGTCTTACTTTTAAAGATTCAAATTAGACAAATCTACCATTTTATGCATCTGACTTTATAAGTGTGTGTGAGAGAGAGAGAGAGAGTGAGTGAAGGAAATTATTCCACCACACTCAAACTGATTTTTAAACTATTGAAATTATTTTGTAATGTTATGGCAAGCTTTTACATTAGTGTTGTGGTAAAGGACAGCATGATGGGAAGTGTTGCAACAACGTTCCCAACAACCATCCCAACACTGACAGCCGTGATAAAACTTGGTATATTAGCTTGACAAAATATTTTTGACACATGTCTATTGAAAGAAAACACAGATTAAAATTGTATGTTTTTGTAGAAGGAATGGTCACAAATGGCTGATGTCTTCCAGGTAGGATGAGGGGCTAACTAAACAACTAAGCATGTTAAGGTCATCACTGTAGCTTTTTCCTTATTGAAGAAATAAGCCAAGTTGCAACCGTCCCCACTCTCCCCTAAATGTTGCTGTCGTTTGTGATAGTGATGTATAAACAATTCCCGGTCTCTCCTACATAATGTCTGTGGGCAGCTGATGTTGAAAAGACATCAAATTGACATCAAAATTGACTTTAAAAAAAAACAGGTCAATTACGCAAATCAAACTGATGTCAGAAACTTGACATGACGTTGATATGATTTAAAGTGAACATCAAACATACTGGCCTACATATACAATAAACTTTCAGTGTGGGATTAACTTCCTATTTTCACCCAATTTCAACTGGAAGAAACTGCCATCCAAACTGAATTTAAAATGATGTTACAGCATCTTGATCAAATCTTGACTAATATTTATATATTAATATACTAATATCTTGACTATAATCTTTTATGTTAAGCACTTTGAATTACCATTGTGCGTGAAATGTGCTATATAAATAAACTTGCCTTGCCTTGCCTTTGACGTCAAATTGATATCAAGGTGCCCGATAGGTAAGATTGTTCAGCTCTGTTTTTACGTGAAGAAATTTTCCTGTAACTGTAAAAAAATGCAGTCAATCCCGGGCCAATGTTCCGATGAAGAGCCAGCGGCAAAACTCCTGTAAGACTGAGGAAGGGCTACAGGTGCTGAAGAAAATAACATGAAAAAGTAACGTGTAGACACACGTGAGATGATATTTAGGCAGATTCTCTAAAACTTAGCAAGAACAAAAGATCATGCACAGTCTATACAAGTCATTTCTTAGAAATCTCTGTCCTAATAGGCTGTGCGTCATTATGTGACCGTGAGTCATTTTCTTTATCTTCAGACACCATCGGATCATAATTCATGGTAAATGATTAAATCAAAAGTAGCCTATTGCCTTGCCCGCTCAGAAGTAGTGCGAAGGGGAAGAACTCTGATAACAAATAGCTTGAAATGGATGTGTTGTGCAATTTAGGACAATTTAGACAAGCTGTGTGAGCCGTGATGAGACAAATTCATGTTGAACTTGGAAAATAAAATGAAGGATGTGAATAAAGCAGGCATCATTTACACACGACAGCCACCGATACCAGATGCAAAATAACAGACCAGTATAGCAGACAAAAAACAATGTTTATTAGATAAGAGAGAATAAATTACTGCTTCACCACTGCTATTGATCAAAAACATTATTTTATTTGTGATTTACTGTAATGCAGACATGATGCGATTTTACAAACATGACAAGTTGCATAATATCAAACGGAAAAGCAAATATTTTGCTCTTATTTGCTCAGAAATAACATTAATAGCTGCATTTCAGAAAAAAATTGCATCCTAAAAAATGTATAACCCATAATGTTGGTCTGAAGAAGGACCGTCTGTGATCAAGTCACTGCTAAACTCTTCATTAGTGTCCAGAACTCGCTTGAAGGAGAGAGGATTCATCCTCTCACGTACATGTGCATGTGAAACACACGAGAGATAAAGCATGTCAACATATTCTGTTACACCAAATACACAAAATAATGATCTTTAAAAAAGCAGCATATGACCCCTTTAATGACAAATGTCGAGAGCGTATTTCTTTTGCTCTCACACAAAACCGGACGCGCGTGCTCAGATACACGCTGCTCTCGCCCGGAGAGAGTGCGCTCACATTAAAGGGGTCATATGATGTTGCTAAAAAGAACATTATTTTGTGTATTTGGTGTAAGGAAATGTGTTTATGCGGTTTAAAGTAAAAAAAACACATTATTTTCCACATAATGTACATTATTGTTTCTCCTCTATGCTCCGCCTTTCTGAAACGCGTAGATTTTTACAAAGCTCATCGTTCTGAAAAGCGAGGTGTGCTCTGATTGGCCAGCTATCCAGTGCGTTGTGATTGGTCAAATACCTCAAGCGTGTGACGGAAATGTGACGCCCTTCACATACTGTGATGCCCTGTCCGGCCGGAGCAACGAGACAAAACCATTCAAACCCATTATAAATGAGGCATTTGTTGCATCCAGTGGGGACATAATTACTGATTATAATGACTTATACTGTCTTTTTACGTGGCTAGAGTGAGCTGAGGCGGCGGGGTCGAGAACGGCACGCCCGGAGGATCCGACGAATGAGCGGCAATCACATGTGACGACCCCAGGCTGGACTCCGCTTTGTCCACGGTGAAAGTTGATGTATTTCCTCAGCGACCAGCACAGATCAGCTCCAGTCATGACGAAGCAGATATCGTCCTCTTTTGGAAGACCAAACAAAGTAGTTTCGCTTTCACAACGAAACACACAGCGTCTTCACGACATGACGGCGACGGCAGCAACAATACTACAGCGAGAATAAAAGTTACGCCTTCTTTCTTTGCGTGAACATTTGGGCGGTGTTATGCAAATCTTCCCACATAGTGACGTAGACATGTGGGGGCGTGTTAGAACGAGGCGTTTTAGGTAGGCGTGGCTGACTCTTAACTTTTATAAAGAATATCTCTTTGGATTTGAGACTTTAGTCTTTGCAACTTTACAGATTTTCTTTATGCACCAAGAGCTTGTAACACTCCAAAGAGAAAGGAAAAATTGTAAATCGCAACATATGACCCCTTTAAACTGTAGTGAGAACTAACCAGTGCTGAAACAGGGGGTTTCATGACCCTTTAAGGTTTTTCCAGAAATATTTCATTTTTGTTCCTTTCAGTCTCGCCCACAAGCCTTTCAAAACATTCCTGTTTATAATATGCCTGCATGAGTTATAATTTCCCCCTTCAGATGAGTCCCTTTCTCTGGGATTCTGCTTTCTCTGTCATCGGTTATTCAAGTATTCAACTACATTTTCAAAATAAAATATTATAGATGATTTAGTATTTTCCATGAATGGCACTTAAAAATATATATATAAATATTAATAAGAATATGCTGTTCAGGGGCCCAGAAACTATAGTGGCACCCCTGGTAGGATCTTACCCCTCTTTTCATATTTTACATATTGTGCTATAACAAGTAAATGAGTAAAATGTTTATATTTATTTCCAATAATAACATATTGCCTGGTGCATTATCATACTGCACATGCTAAAGTATTTCTAAATATACTACTATTTAAAAGTACATCCACATCCAACAATAATGTTTTTGAATTGTTTATTTTGGGCATTTGGTTGTCTTCCTCGGCAGTTATATTCTATGCAGTTAATTGTGATTAATCAGAATATCCTGTTTAATTTTATTAAAAATGAAGAGATTGTCAGCACTATTTCTATACTCTGCATTTTATATTTTACTAATTTGAAATGGCAGTTACCACTGACCGAAGATCAAAAGTCATATCGACTTTTACAGGATCATATACCTATTCTAATTGTAAGTAAAACATAATGGAGGAAAATAATCTGAAAAAAAAACACTTAGGTATTGAAATAAAATGGTTGTTTTTAATCGTAATTCACCGCTTTTCCAATGTTTTGTGCAAAAAAATGCACCCTTGACATTTTGCTGCACTATGTCTCGCATATATACAGTATATATATATATATTTGGGATGCACAATATTATTGGAACATTATTAGAATCGGCCGATAATGGCTTACAATGTAAACATCGGCCCGGTATGAAAAATGATGCCGATATGCCTTGCCTTTATTTTATTAAATAAAATAAAAGAGTGATTGATTTATGGTTATTTTCAAAACTTTCAGTGAACTCTCAGTATTAAATAACTTCATTATTGTTTATTTAATTCTAACATGCTAAAAATATATACATACCTATATATGTGTGTGTGTGTGTGTGTGTAAAATTTATATATAAAATGTACAAAATGCAAGGTAAGTTTGTTGTAAAACATGTAAATGGTAAACTGACGTGACACTGACAGGTTGGTAAAATGTTAACTTTGGACCCTGGTAAGCAGCATCTGTACAGTCATTACTCAGGGTTTGTGTCCTCATGATATTGCAGTCCGTGATCACCGTACGTATCATAACTCTCATATGTTGGTTTCTGGAGCCACTCAGGTTTATATTTATTCGTGCTGTACATAAACGCTTCCACGATGCTTCCAGGTTTCAGTGTGTTTTCTCCTTCACCGTCCCCGGCCTGCACCTCCAGCTGGACCGTGGTGCGCTGGTACAACTTAGGAACATCTTCAAACTCGTCCAGGAAGTCCAGCATCTTCTGGTCCACGCAGTAGATCTCGCCGTGGACGCGCTGACCCGTCCCGGTCTTATTGAGCAGGAAGGGGTAGTTGTTATTGGTGGCGATCACGAGCGGGAATCGCTCTACGGTTCGAGTGCGAGCGAGTAACTTGGCCTGACCGTTGGCAGCATCCAGCATCTCGAAGTGGTTGGGCTGGCCTTTCTTCAGTGTGCCGTAGACAAAGACATGATGCATGTGAACCACGGTACACACCACATTTACAATGAGCTGTGGAGAAAGAGACGCTTCATTAGCATTCAAAATTAACTCACCGACAATTACAGGTCTTTATTTATACAGAACATTACTTTTTGTAGAAATGTGTTACATGTATAATTCACCATTGCTTGTACATTTTTACACACTCTATTGTACTCCCTCCTGCTCTTCCACAACAAAGCAACTGTGAATGTTCAGTTTACATGTAACACAGATAAATATGCTGTACAAATATACAACTTTCTCAAAATACAGCACTGCTGTTCAGGGTTGTGATGTTCCTCCTTGTTCAAAAACAGTAGGGATTGTGCTGGGCAAACTCCAATTATATGATTCCAAACTTGACTGATTGGCAAGATTATAATTCCTATTTCATTACAATGGCAAGCCAATTGCCAACTTAGCAGACATTACAACAATTCCATGTCAAACATTGTTATTTAATAAACATGCATATCAGACATATTTTGATAACTGAATGAACCATTTTGCATTGATGGCTCAAGCGATGGAAGAATGTTTAGAAGTAGTGAAGTTATGTAGTTATTGTAGACAATTGTACTTGTTTGCACAAATATGCCAAAACACATGCGACTCTCAACTATCTTTATCTAAAAGTAAAATGTATTTTACACATTATTGACATTTTTAGTGTTTAATTGTAATTTTTTTGTATATGTAATTAATAAAATAAAAAGTTAATTACATATTAAATATGTTAATATATAGATCTGACAATAGTAGTTGATTACAAAATAAAAGCATAAACAAATACAAATATGTGCATCAACATCCTTAATTCCTCGAAATAAAGAATGCAAAAGAGGTGTAGGGGTATAGGGTTGCTCTTTGGGTGCAAGGGATGATTCAACTCGTAAGAATAATAGTCGTCCAAGGCACTCGAATCTTATTCAAAAAGTTTTAAAAAGCCTTTATTTCATCATGGCTACAAGTATTATACTTACTGTAATAAGTATTATAGTATTGTCCTGTGTAGAATTGTTATTTGAATAATTAATTGCTGCTCAAAATGAACTCAGATTGTGTTTGTTACTCACACCCTGATGAAGGCAAAATAGCCACAACGCCTAGCTGTGCACTTGTCACCTGTTTTTAAAACTTATAGCCATGATGAAATAAAGGCTTTTTAAAACTTTTTGAATAAGATTCCAGTGCCTTGGACGACTATTATTCTTACAAATGTGTGCATATTTAATGATCAAACGAGTTTTGCCTTGCATGTTTTCAGATTGTAAAGTTGCAAGGGACTTTTATTCTATTAATGCCAAGCTGACATATGTTCATTTAAAACTGCAGATGATCAAACATTATTTCACAGTTTACATGAAAACAGAGTAACAACACAGATGATATGATGCATTAAATGCTCGATGATTTTAAATAAGTGTTGATAATGTATCTCACGTAAACACACCGCACATGCTTCACCATCCAATAAACATCTAAACCAGAAGAACACTGTTTCTCTTACCGATACTATAATAATGAATACTTTCATCATCCAAAGATCAAACTGTGAGTTTGAGAGAAAACAAGAACGAACTGCTGAAACAAACTCAATGAACTTCAACCAAACCTTCCGTGTTCCACAACGTTATAAAATGAGGAAATGTGACGTCACATGAGGGATGGGCGGGGTTTTCTGTGAAGATACTTTCAGTTTGCATTTCAGCAGAAATACAGTAAACATCAGATCTCACTGCAGAGCAAAGAAACTGTGCATCAACAGAGAATTATACATAATAACATGCATACAGCAAAAACAGAAGGCGCTGTCAAAGCATATTTTTAAATACATTGTTTATTAGCAGAATACTAATATTAACATTTAACGATGAAAATGCTTAAAATATAAAAAACGTATTATATATATATATATATATTTTTTTTTTTTTACAATAAACGTAATATAGTTTATTCAATGTAATAATACATTAAGTTATAGCCTACCAGGGGAGGTTCTAGAAATAAAGTTACACTGACTAAGTGGCTTTATTCTTTAAAAAAGGTAAATATTTCTAGCTTATTAAAATAAAAAAGTCACAACGTGACACTGAGTTAAACTGCAAACATTAATCCACAATCATTCTTAATACAGAACAGGTTTAAAATCTACAATAGCGACCCCATGAAGCTGTTATTGCTTGTCTAATTATGAAGCTGCTTACAAATTATCATACTCATCAACAAAAATGCAATAATGCATGCCAAAGTGAACACCAGACATTCCAAGATGTTAGATTAACAGACAAAAGTAACAGCAGAGTTCAACATGTGCACTGCTGCAGCCATCGATAGCAGAAACATCAGTCCATTTCTTTTTTATATACTATTCTGTTGATGCTTTGTCTCTATCACACCTTGTCTCTGTCTCTGTCTCTCGCTTTTCTTTTCCATCAAGCTTACTGGCCACACTCTAGTCCTGGTAAAATAAGGATGTTAAGAAGGAAACACTAAGCATTGCACTGACATACTTTTACTCTACAAAGATATACCAGTCAGAGCATGGAGGTATTCACGTCTCGCAGTTATTTCTCCTACACTGGCACTAAGAAGCTGTAATATCTCCATGTGTTTGGCTGTTGTGAAGACTACTTTGTTCATGCTCTCTGAATGATTCTAAAGCCCTTTTCCAGTTGGAGAATCCTGCACTTGTTAATGTGTCTTTGCTGTTTCGAAAATGATGCTTCCCAAAGAGACGACAAGAAAAGCAGCATGCAGAATTTCTGGATAATGAGTACTCAAGCCATTGAAATTCATCTAGCCAGTTCTTATTAAAAGCTCTCTAATGTGTTCTTAATTGGGTAAAGGGATACTTCTGAAGCTTCACCTGCTTTGGGTCTGTCTGCAGTGTTCCTAGATCATACCTTTCACTTTCTGCCCCTTTCTGTGTTTCTGTGTTTCTTCTTTCCTTGCTGATTCATCTGGGAAATACTTCACGCATTTAGGCTATACGGTATGTACTGTTTTAGTGCTTGTTAAGTAAGTTCTTATTGAAATTAAGTACCTGCTCAGAGAGTATGTGATTTCAGATGCAGCCTTCGTTGAGGGAAATGGAGTCCTTTAGAATGGATAAAAGAAGGTGAAAGTGATTAAGGTGAACAAGACAGAGAGCACTAGAAGTGCTTGTGTAACATATCAGAGGATAAACACATCACCTGCGTCCAAAGCCGCATACTCTCTGAGCAGGTACTTAAGTACTTACTTAACAAGCGCTAAAAGAGTATGCACTCTATAGCCTAAATGTGTTAAGTATGAATGTGATCCGGACAGCATCCGCCATGTTGACATTATCATGTGACCAACAACATTATAAACAAGCCCAACAGCGTAAAAGCAAAAGATAAGAGCAACAGGTTCAATCCATCCATCTGTAAATATCTTGATATTGATGAAACGTGCTCATTTTGTGGTCTTGTTGATGAAACAGCTGCCTAATTATTTTGTGATTGTTATATATCTCTACATCCTCTACTGCACCTCTCTCTTTCTCTGTGGGTCTCTGGAATTGTCAGTCAGCTGTCAACAAAGCAGACTTCATTTCTGCTTTTTCTTTACAATCCACACTCAGCATCTTGGGCTTGACTGAGACCTGGATTCGTCCAGAAGACTCAGCAACCCCAGCTGCTCTATGTAAAAATGTATCTTTCTCTCACACCTCCCGTCAGGTTGGCCGGGGTGGGGGCACTGGTCTGCTCATTTCTAACAAGTGGAAATACTCAACCCACTCTCCCCTATGCAATTAAAACTCTTTTGAATCTTATGCGATTACTGTAACAGCTCCTATAAAACTCCAGGCTGTGGTAATTTACCGCCCTCCTGGGCAACTGGGCACATTCTTAGAGGAGCTGGATGGGCTGCTGTCCTCATTCCCGGAGGATGGCAGTCCACTTTTAGTCTTTGGGGACTTCAACATTAATCTGGACAAGCCTTTAGAGGAGCTGGATGGGCTGCTGTCCTCATTCCCGGAGGATGGCAGTCCACTTTTAGTCTTTGGGGACTTCAACATTAATCTGGACAAGCCTTGTGCTACAGACTTCCATTCACTCCTTGCTTCATTTGATCTCAAATGACTTACCACTACAAGCACGCACAAATCAGGCAACCAACTTGACTTAATTTACACATGTAATTGTATTGCAGACATTTTGGTAAAACCCCTACATATCTCTGATCATTTCTTCATTACATTTAAACTGCATTTTGTTAACTGTGTGCCACCAACCCCTATACCGGTTACTTTTAGACGAAACCTACGCTCCCTTTCCCCCTCCCATCTTTCCTCTGTATTATCCTTCTCTCTTCCCTCACCTACCCATTTCTCATCTCTGAATGTGAATGCAGCAACTGACACTTTATGCTCTACTTTAACCTCTTGTCTAGATGATATTTGTCCTCTCTCCTCCTCTAACCCCTGGTTATCCGATGTTCTTCGTGAGCATCAGACCAAAGGGCAGCAGAGAGAAAATGGCACAAATCAAAAGAACCATCAGACCTGAGTATGTATCAGTCATTGCTTTCATCTTTCTCTGCTGAAGTCCATACTTCATCACAACGTCATTTAGCAACTTTTAGCAACAAATCAACCTTCCTTTAGCAACTTCCCCTGAAAATTAGCTGGCAACACTGTGAATCGTTTTGAAATCATTGGCAAATGACTCTAATATTAAATGTATATTCTGAGAAAATTACAGTGTTTTCTTACCTTAGATGCATTTAAATCTGTAGTAGAGGACTCCAACACAATATTTGGACACTTTAAAATACCATATGACCTGCTCTTTAATGAGCAATGAAGGGCAACTTCCACAAGTGCAAATAAAAGATGTGATTGGTCAGGTTTTCTGTCACATTGTTAATTTAACTGATATGGAAATCATACGGTTATATTTAGTATAATTATCATAAAAGTGTTTATATCTGTGTATACCTTATATATTACAACTATATGTTATAGGTGTCTATTTATGAGTGCTTTCCCCTTTTTTGCTGTGTTGGCTCTTCTTCCCTTTTGCACCATAATTAGATGGGTGTAGGTTATATCTGAGCTCTCAAAAGTCTTCTTTCATCTTCATTTTAATAATCAGAATCAAAGGTGATGGTCTGTAGAAACACTCTGGGCTCTTCTTCATTTGGTGTGATCTTATAAAAGCTACAGCAGATGTCGTCACTGTTTCAGAGGATCCACATACACTCTTAAAAATAAAGGTGCTTCAAACGGTTCTTCAAGTGATGCCATAGAAGAACCATTTTTGGTTCCAGAAAGAAGCATTCAGTCAAAGGTTCTTTAAAGAACCATTTCTTTCTTACCTATTTGTAATCTGAAGAACCTTCTTTCGCCACAAAGAACCTTTTGTGAAACAGATAGGTTCTTCAGATGTTAAAGGTTCTTTATGGAACCATTTAGACAAAAAGGTTCCTCTGTGGCATCGTGAAGCACCTTTATTTTTAAGAGTGTAGTTTCATTCTGCTGGACTGTCAGGAAATGTTGGTCAATGTGTTTTCTCTCTGTTCAATATCATACAGTTAAAATCACCTTTTATCATGATTCATGTAAGGGAAACAGGTCAATTTAGCTCAAAGGGAATCATTTAAGATTTTAAATCCGAAGCTTGTGATCACTATCACATGTTTCCATGAGACGGTCACGCTGTGCATCTCTTTTGACCATTATTCTTGATAACTTGCCCCAAAATTGACAATCTCCTTGGAATTGTCAATAAGTGTTCTTTTGTGTTAATGTTGAAAACTGTTCTGTGACAGAGTGGTTTAGGCTTGCTTCAGACTGGCTAATGCTCTGATTTATGACATCCTGTTGTCTTGGGCCTCTTGTGGAATTTTTGTGCTCCTAATGTTTCAACCATGTTTGACCAAATCTTAGATTGCCTGATTCGGTCTGATATCCTACATTCATGATATCACGATTTTAATACCGATATTATATATTTCAGAATGTGTTTTATTGCAGTTTTCTTTTTTTCATGATTTACTTTTTCATGTAACAAATTATGTTAGCTAAAGCTGTAATTCAGAGTGATTTGTTTTGTTGCTACCTCAGTGTTTTATGTTACTGTTTCTGATTTGCATTTATTTTTGCCTGTGTTTTGGATTGGTTTTGTCAAAACATTTTGTCAGTTAACCTAAAATGTGCTTCGTGTAGTAACATCTAAATTGAACATTAAGCTGATGTTCATGAGGTTGCAAGTGAAAGTAACTTAAGCATCAGATCAGGTGAAAAAGTCTTTTTTTTTATTGTGACATCTGCACAGTTTAATACTGGGCTACTGGTTTTCTTCAATACATCTTTATACATGTTCAATATCTATCATGTTACATCTTTATATTTCAGAGTCAGGACTGAGAAATCCAGATTAAGGTCTTTATTTAGTTGATCAAACATTGAGCTGAAGCAGTGATTTAGTGTGTGATTCAAGCATGTGTTCAGACAGACGTCACACTCACACACTGTCTGCTCTTCTCCATGTCTTCCTGATTTCTCTTCTCATCTCTCAGTCTGTTTGCATTCTTCATCTTCGTTGGTTCCTCTGTCATGTCATGAATGGATGTTGCTGGGGTCTCTGCTGATGGACGGGGATCTCTGTGAGTTTGTGTGTTCAGGACAGTCATCTCTCTGGGACACGGCTGGAGCCTGTGCCTGTTTTGTCTGATCATCTGACCTCTGTGAGCCGAGAGTGAGAGACGACTGACACACATGAAGAACACAGAGTTTATACAACATTTAGGATGCACTACATCACTGCAAGGTAACACACACACACACACACACACACACACACACACACACACTGCATGTGAGCACAGCAGTCATGATGTGATGCCGCTCTGCGCCACTGGAGGAAGTAAGTTTGTTTTTCACAGGAGTGCATTTAAAGTAACCTAATGCAACACCTCACATGGGTTAAAACGAAAGTAAAAGAAATTCAGACGCCATTTCGTGGCTCTAAACCTGTTAACAAGGAGTATATAAAAGACATCATAATTTGTGGTAAGTTAAGAATTTATTCTTCATGGCTTTTCATGTAAAATGAGCTGCTGTTTGACAATTACAGTGCTTAAGTAAATTAGGCTACTATTGAGATTTGATTTTGATATCCTCAGATTTTTGTTACATATCCTACAACATAATTAAAAATGCTGAATGGAGTCCTTGTATATAGGCTAATTGTTTTATATACGAATATTTCTTGATCAGCTTCAACAAAATACAAGTTTGAAAGTAAATTATTATGATTTTAAAGATATTTCACTAACAGTGAACAGAAGAGTCATTGCACATATAGTACAATGATCATATTATAAACAATATTAACGATATGTTTGTTGATTTGTTGCTCAAACGCGAGTAAATGATGCGCTCTTGACGCGCCTTTACAAAAACTTCCGTGTACATAGTGCATGTACTAGACACTGTACACAATTAATGCTGAATACGGCATCCAAATGACCACGTTAATATTAATCCATTAGAATTACTAAAGACGACACCGCATGTAAACCACATGATCACATTTTGGGGCCTAATACATCATTTCATGTTTCCATATTTCCAGTAGCCTACCTCGATTCATACACTGCTGAAGCAAATATTAAAAGTGCAACAAAAATGGTAAATAAATGTACACGAGTATAACAACTCAGGATGTTTAAAGTGAATTATTAACGCATCTGCAGTTATACATATTGAGTGTAACTTGTATTGCACTGAACTTTAGCTCCAATACCAATTGTCAGAAAAATAGTTCTAAATCATACCAGATGTCCAGCAAAATACAAATGACAAAATACTCAAAAGTAATCAAATACATATATTAAATATATTTAATTTAAATACTGCCCATTTCTGAATACTGTTTACATAAAAGCTGACATCAAGCTGGATACATTAATAAATAATAAGTCAATATTGAAAATAAATACATAAAGTTGATGTAATAAAGCACAAGTTCCAATACTATACAATGTCTTCACCTTCAACAGTTATGTGTTTATTTTGGGGTGATTGCAGTTCCTCTATGCAGATGATGCCGTTTTGGCATGTGACAGCAATAGAGAATTATGCTCAAAGTCTGTATGTTTCTATTTGTTTGAGTAAAAACAATTATAATGGTTTATAATGGTTAAAATAAACTATTGTGAATAAGACATTCATGATGTAAATGAACCCTGATCCCCAAAACAAACATCCATTTCAGCATAAAACATTTTTTTTTGTTTGTTTGTTTTTTTATGATTCTACATAGAAGTATTATTATAAGTAAAGAAACTAAATAAATGAATACATGACTATATATATATAATTTGTGGAAGGTAATTTGATTGCAATGCCATCCAGATTAATAGTGTACTTTGTAGCTGTACTGTATCATTGTACTACAGAAAAATAAAGAAAACAATTAACTCAGTTTCCACATGACAGTTGGAGAACAGTGACTCCAAAATGAGTGTCTGTGAAAAAAGTGAAGATCAGGACTCTACAATGAGTTCTCCATCTCCTGAATCAAGCTGCAATCAACCCCTGAAGAATCTGTCCTCTTCTTTCAGTGGTGCATCAGTGACCTCTGACACCAGGTAAGACACTCGCTATTTCAGCATGAGTGAGTGAGTGAGTGAGTGAGCGGTGTCTCATGGTACTATTCCAGAGATGCACAAAAACACTTTCCTGAACCTTCACTCTCACTGATCCTCAGGGGCGATTCTATGATTTTCATTTTAGGGGGGCTCAGCCCCCAATGAGCATATAATAATAAAAGATAATAATAAATAAATAAAATAAAATAAAATAATATTTGACTAATAGGTTAGGGTGGAATACTAAACACATTGCAGTATTCCACTGTATTGCATAAGTTAGATGGGTATAACATTTGAGTACTGAATAAGCCAAATACAAGTCTTTCTGATCACAAACACACACACACACACACACTTTAACAATTTATTTAAGTCCACTTAAAATAAATTATTTACAGGGACATACATATTATAGATGAAGTTAAATACATGAACAAAATCAGGGACCAGTGGCATGCAACAGGTCTTCACAATATTAAGCATATCACTCAGTTGTTATGGATATAAATAACAGCAGCTCCGCCATATATGATGGCTGCCTAAGATAGACAAAGCACAGTACTTTGCTAGCCGTTTAACCCTCTTTCTGAGCATCCCAAGTTGTTGAAGCTCTCTTACAACCAGCCTGTGTGCATGTCCTAAGCTGCTAAATATGAAAACAAGTAATCGGCCCCTGTAACCTATCTCTGAAATGGTATTTAGGAGTGGTTGATATTAAATGACTTTGGTCATAAAATCTTCCTCCATACCAGAGTCAAAGGTGCATGCAACCTCCAAAATGAACACCTCTCTACACTCCGTATTAATCACAACAACATCTGGTGTATTAGCAGACAAATGTGAAAAGATTTCAGAGTTACTACTGCAATACTGACCCTGCAAACAAGTCTGCACTAGGCCTTTACGGGCTGCCAGCACAGGGCCCCTGAGAATTTGCTCATTGACAAAATGTTGGGCCCTTAGCATTGGCCCTGCACAGGCAGCCCTCACTTAGCCTCCAGGAAGCCTTAGTGCTGTTTTATTGAAAATAATAAAGTTTGAAGTCCCCGTTATGGAGGTAAGCTCTTGCTTTAGTTGGGCTCTTGAATCTTCACTTATTAACTTTGATGTGTTTCTGAATCACATTTTTTATATCAAAAGTTGTGAGAACACAAACTGATCAGATTCTCTGATCTCTAAAACACACACCACTGCATGACATTTTGTCCTGCTTTAATATTTTGAATTATTTTAATTCATTATTCAGAAAGCATTTGGACTGAATCATGTAGACTCACACAGATATCTAGATTAAGCGTATGAACCTCATCAATGGTGACAATCAACTTTAATTGTATGATCTTCCAAGTTGATCTGAATATTTTGCTGACTGTCACCATTGTTGAGGTTCATACGTTGAATCTTGATATCTGTGTGAGTCTACATGATCCAGTCCAAATAATTTCTGCGTAATGAATTAAAACAATTTAATTGTGAAATAAAATCATTCAAACCATTAAAGCAGGTCAAAATTTCATGCAGTTGGTGCTCTAGGGCTAATATGTTGTGAAATAACCAAATCTAAATAATGTATTCAGATATCAAACTCTGGGTGAGATCAGGGAACCAGGACACTACGTGATGACTAAATCATCAGATCAGTTTTTCTTCTTGCAACTTTTGCTATAACAAATGTGCTTCAGAAACACAATTACAACAGCCTGAAAAAAACTTGTTAAAAAGTCAAGGGACAGGAACCCAACTAAAGCAAGCACTTACCTCCATAACGGTGACTTCAAATGTTATTATTTTCAATAAAACAGCGCTAAGGCTTCCTGGAGGCTAAGTGAGGGCTGCCCATGCAGGGCCAGTGCTAAGGGGCCAACATTTTGTCAATGAGCAAATTCTCAGGGGCCCTGTGCTGGCAGCCCTAAGTGGGCCCGTAAAGGGCCAGTGCAGGCTTGTTTGCTGGGAAACATGGATGATTTTACAGAAGAATGTTTGTATATTCTTACTAAAGGTGGTAAATGGTGTGATATGTCTTTTACTATCAAGTCCACTATTCTGTCGTGGCGTGCTATGTACATTCCCTTGTAAGCATGACAGCAGTTCAGGATATGTGGCAATGTTTCAGTGATCTGATCTGTAGTATGATGCAAACAATGAGGAACCCGAGTTGTAGGAAACCAGATAGAAAGGTTAAGTCTGGTAGGAAGAAATTGTAATCTGGCTTTATCTGTGAAAATGGCAATGTCCTCACTGAGTGCAGTATTCTTGAGAAATGAGTGAGAAACAGAATGATCAGCAGAGGGGAGACATGCAAGTTTTCCCTGAAGGTTCAGTTCAGTCCAGTCCAGTGTTGTTTTTGGTGATACTGATGTAATTGTACTGATTGCATTTCTAAACAAACCTCTTTCTATGCTCAAGTACTGTCTGTCACTGTCTTTAATCATTTCTGCGCATGACTGTATGGTAGCTAATGCCACATGCACTGTAATATGTTTTATATCGAAAGTACTTATAAAGTATACATTCATACGTGTTAAGGGCTAACATTACATTTTCGCTGGAGAAAACAGCTGTGGTGTGATGAGGGGTGAACGCAGCGAAAACTTTACAGTAGATGGGAAACCGATTGCCATTTTGTAAACTGTATTTGTGACAAAGAACTGCACAGATGCAGATATTATAACAATCTATCGATAAACACACACCTCATCCTCTGTTTCTTGCTCTGCGCCGCTGTGGTCTGCGGATTGAAGAACGTGCTGAAAGACGTGGAGGAGCCGAAGTCTGCCACCGCTTTCATATGAAATTAAAAGGGGACTGAGGCGATCACGAATTTGTGCACAGTTTATGGAGCTAATCGCAGAATTTTAGGGGGGCTGAGTAGAAATTTTGGGGACACTAAAGATGGCCTAGTAATGCCCATGCTGATCCTCATTAGTTGAGTGATCTTCCCAGATAGCCAAGTCCATTTCAAGAAGCACCTAAAGACCATTCTGTGAGCACTTGACTCCTTATTTGTAAATTGTTTGGATGAAAAGCTTCTGCTTAATTACTAGATATAAGTGTACATCTACAGTATGTTGCACTCAAGTTGTATACAATATCGCTAGTGCACTAAATTAAGAATTTTTTTTGTCAGTATCACCAGGAGGAAGACACAGAGATCCGAGTCTCCAGGATCCAGCTGTGTGTCTGTGAAGAGTAACAAATCCATGGAGCACCCCCAAAACCTTAGTGATGAACCGGGGACATCTGACCCTCTGTAAGTATAAACATTATTTGCTAATTTATTGTAGTGCATCTCAGATGAAAAAAAAGTAAATTAATAAATAAAATAATAAAATGTAAAAAAAAGAAATATCACTAAATAAAATATGCAACATATGCACAACATGAAGAAGGGTGCATAAATCCTATCTAGTAAGAAATATATTTTTCATGGTATTTAATGGTCCTTCTAATAGCTACAATTGGTGTTTTTAAAAAAATATATATTTTAGTAGGTGGAAGATATATGAGCCAATCAGATCTGTGCCGTTTTCTACATCCCACTGTCAGACCCCCATCATGCAGGACAACACTGAATCAGTCCATCAGACAAACACACTGGAGACTGGAGACCTGCAGAGAGTCAAAGACCAGCACAAAACCAGCATGAAAAACAAGTATGAGAGATTATTTGAGGGAACCAAACTCAAACAGAATCAAACCTTCCTGAACAGGATCTACACACAGCTCTACATCATAGAGGGAGAGAGAGAAGGAGTGAATGAAGAACATGAGGTTTTACAGATGGAGAAAACAGCCAGAACAAAACACTCACAAGACACTCAAATTGACTGCAATTACATCTTTAAAGCCTCAGCTGAAGCAGGATCTGGCTTTCAAACAGCTGATGAAGGGCAATGTGATGTTCTATGAGGAGGACCTGATTGAGAACGGCATAGACGATAGTGACGCCTCAGTGTATTCTGGGATTTGCACTGAGATCTTTAAGGAGGAATCTGTGATTCATCAGAGGAAAGTCTACAGCTTCATTCATCTGAGCGTTCAGGAGTTTCTCGCTGCTTTCCATGTGTTTTATTACTATGTGAATACAACTATGGAGGGACTAAAGAAATTTGCTTCAATACAAAATTTGCTTAAAGGGGCAGTAGATAAAGCCCTTGAAAGTGAGAATGGACATCTGGATCTGTTCCTGCGGTTCCTGCTGGGCATCTCACTGGAGTCCAATCAGAGACTCTTACAGGATCTACCGACACACACAGAGAACAGCTCAGAGAGCATCAGGAGAACCACACAGTACATTAAAGAGAAGATCAGAGATGGACATGGACTCTCCACTGAAAGATCCATCAATCTGTTCCTCTGTCTGCTGGAAGTGAAAGATCAGACTCTGTCCAGAGAGATTCAGGAGTTTGTGAAATCAGACAAACACTCAGAGAAGAAACTCTCTCCTGCTCACTGCTCAACAATCGCCTACATGCTTCAGATGTCAGAGGAGCCGCTGGATGAGCTGCACCTCAAGAATTACAACACATCAGATGAGGGGAGAAGAAGACTGATACCAGCTGTGATCCACTGCAGAAAAGCTCTGTGAGTGTTTCTTTTTTGAATTCTCATTGGAGAGACTTCATTGAACATTTTTACTTTAACAATTGTTTTTAATTTCAATCATGTATTTTCACTATTGCAGATTTTACACTCACAATTTTTTTTTGTATTTCAGTCTTGCTGGCTGTAATCTAACAGCTCAGGATTGTGAAATTGTGTCATCAGCTCTACAATCCTCAAACTGTGTCCTGAGAGAGCTGGATCTGAGTAACACTGACCTGCAGGATTCAGGAGTGAAGCTGCTCTCTGATGGACTGAAGAGTCTGAACTGTCAGCTGGAAATACTGAGGTATTAAGAAATAAGGAATAATGTACAGTTATCCAGTCATAATGTTGTTTTGTGTCTATATATGATCTGACTGTGTGTCTGTAGTTGATCTGATTGTGTGTGTCTGTAGATGATCTGACTGAGTGTGTCTGTAGATGATCTGATTGTGTGTGTCTGTAGATGATCTGACTGAGTGTGTTTGTAGATGATCTGATTGTGTGTGTCTGTAGATGATCTGTGTGTCTGTAGATGATCTGACTGAGTGTGTCTGTATATGATCTGACTGTGTGTCTGTAGATGATCTGTCTGTGTCTGTCTGTA